GTGTAGGACATTCTCTAACAGCCCACCCTCAAACTCAGGGTGGATGCAAGAATTGCAACTGACCAAACACCCAGAGTTTGTTTGTAAGACAGCAGAATCTGAGCTTGGATAAAGAGAGACATGGCCAGAACATCTGCAATCTAATCTTCAGTAGAACATGAGCAACAATTAAGCTCTTGTTGAGGACCCTCTCACGAACCAAAAAAGATGTCAAGCTCCATATGCTAGGTATGGGTGTGGAGAACCGGATTATGTGAAAGGGAGATTGTACTCAAATTATCACAGTATATCACGAGTGGTAACTGGAACTTGAAGTTATGAATCATGTCTGAATCCAGACAAGTTCTGCCAGGTTGAAGCCAGACTTTTGTACCCAGCATCAGTGCTGGAATGAGCAACTAGAGGGTGCTTTATAGACCAAGAGACCATGTTTTAGGTCCCAAAAAAACACATTATCTAGAATTGGACCTGCAATCATCTTGATCAGATGCCCAATCTGCATAACAAAAAGACATAAAGGGAGAGAGGATGATGGCACTGTGCTGGAAGAAGGAGAAGATCAAGTGTTAGGGTACCTTTCAAATACCGCAACATGTGATTAACTACCTTCCAGTGAGTTTCTAGCGGCTGTGACATATACCTACAGGTATTTTTAACACTGAAAGAGAGCTTAAGGCTAGGAATAGTTGCATATTGTAATGACCTGTTATGATACCACCCATTACTAGGGTGTATCAAAGGTGCAACCACAGGGGATCAACACCTTCATAACTAACTCACACATTCCAGGGGGCATGAAAGGGAGAGTGGGTTTCAGTTACCTCGGGAAGGGGACTATAAGAAAGATGGGGAGGAATGGTTTAGCATCTTGGGAATTTACTTGGACTTGGGCTGGGAGGGTATTGAGTCTCCCAAATTCTCAGATATCTGTCATTGTTCTTGTTCATTTAATTTTCCATTGTAATACATTCTCACTTTTCTTTAGTAAAAGCATGTACAATTCTTGTTCGGTAAGAACTTCAATTCATCAATACAATTTTGTTTCATTTTTATTGTCTATCTGTTTTCTTTATTATTTGAGTATCAATCCTATCATGACCCAACAAGGGATCTATATAAGTGGGGATATACATATAATCACTGCCATGTTTGTTTACAGCATCCATTCATAGGAGTAGATATACCCTTGGCGTCCCTCATATGAGCTTCGGATAATAAGTCCCTCACTTACTTGAGACAGAAGTAGAGGACCATCAGAAGGTGCTCGACCCAATACCAAAAAAATAGTCAAGAGATCCCAACTGTTTAAGAGAAAACACTCATAAGCTGTTCAACAAGAGACAGAGAAGTTCCACTGACAATAATGCCATCCATGTAAACCAACACACAGAAAATGAGTGGAGCTCTTGTGCATAAAAAGATAAGGGTCACATTTAATGGGAATAAAACCGAAATTGAGAAGTGTTTTGGTAACAGTCTCAAACCAGGCCCTATGTGCGTGATTGAGACCAGAGAGCTTTTCGGAACTAACAAACCAGGGATTTATCAGAGGCTTCATACCCCGGAGATTGTTGCATATAAACTTCCTCAAGAAACCCATTAAGCAAGGCATTATTTACATCGAGTTGTTAGATAGACCACCCATTGGTGAGTGCCAAAGTGAGGATGAGAATGGTCACTAGTTTAATTTAACTACTACGAAGAAGGTTTATATGTAATTAAACCCAGGTTGGAGATCAAAGCAGGTCTTATATTTGTTTATAGTCATCCGGATTCTCCTTTAATCGGAATACCCATTTACAACCAATAGTTGTCAGACTAGGTGGAAGGGGGAACAAGGACAAGATATGACTAGTCATCAATGAATCGAATTCAGCTTCATCATGGCAGCCATCCAATGGGGTTCACCAAGGCCTGTTTGCTCTAAATGCGTAAGTAGCAAGGTGAGGACAATCTGGTTTTGACAATACCAGACTTAGGACAGGTTTGCATAGGATGAACAAACCTGCATGTAGAAGAATAGGGTGGCAGGACTAGAGGAAGGGGATATAGGGGATGATGAAGGTTGGGAAGAGGCAGCGGAAGAATTAGAGGCAGAATAAAGAGAATGAGAAGAAGGGGTCACAGAACTGAGAAGAAAAGGGGGGGGGGGAGGAAGTTGGGGAAACTGAATAAGGCAAAGAAGGTACAGACAGGAATAATGGGAGGAGAGAGATTAGAACAGCTAGATTTTTCTGCTACTAAATAAGGGAATTAAACTCATTCAGAATAAAATCCTTTGAGATGTTTAATCTGCCGTCAGGTCAAAGGCACTTAACCCTTATGGGCAGCAATGTAGGAGCCAGAAAGGTGCATTCAGTGATGTGGAAATCTGATATATGTTGTTTATAGGAACGTAGGAAAGGATAACACACACAACCAAACACCTTTAAGAAGCTGTAATTAGAGGATTTGTTAAAGAAACAAATGAAAGGAATCATTGTTGAGAGAAACAGTGGGCAAACAGTGGATGAGCCGATGAGGTAAACTTGCAGTAAGAAAGGCATGATCCAAAAAGGTGAAAGGTAAGGAAGCCAACATTTTTCCTATGCTTACAGCCCCCATTGCCATTTTGGTGGTAGGTGTGGGGGAAAATAAAGCAGTGAACAATGCCGAAGTCAGCTAGAACCTTGGAAAACGTTCCTAAATTCCCAACCGCAGTCAGTTTTTACAGACTTTATTTTCTTTCCCAATTTTAAATCATGGATATGAAGTGTTTAAAGAGGGAATTTTGCCCTGTGAAGCATAGAGGCTGACATGGCTGTGATATTTTGGTATAGCAGCCACAATTCAAATTCACTACAGCAAAATGCAACACTAAACAAAACTTGTGGTGACTAGAGATTGCAACCCACCGCACCACCATTATAATGGTGTAATCGTGTTCTATTTATTGATAACCCTACAAACAACTAAGAGGGTTGTCTCATAGCTCTCGCTTTTTATGGGGGCAATGTAGACAGGGAGTCGCAGATGCTAAGTGCATCAATCATCATGAAGTTCCACAGTAGAATTTTAAATTCAAGTACCTGAGTTTTGCACTTCTCTCGACAAAGTATAAATTTTCAATAAATTAAAAAGAGATATGCAATAAGCTTCTCAAGAACTGCCTATAACAATCAACAAAAATAATAGAGACTCAAATTACTTTGCTGGGTTTCCCATACCAATTCTATATTCCAAAAAGTTTTGCAAATTTCAATCAAGGCCATCTTTACATATGATAAATATTTGTTTCTCTAAAAGGGTGGAGAAAAATGAATTGTCTAGTTCAAAGGCATTTCCTTGATGACCCAATAATCACTCATCAGTTGGACATACATTCAGTGTTGTAAGTGAAAATCCATTTGACTTATAAAATAAACCCAAAATAGAATAATAATAATAATTATCTGCCTTTGATTTGTTCCATGTTATGGTTGAGTCAGACAAAAAATAAGATTTTTGCAGCAGAATGTCAATGGTGACAGTGTCTCTAGTACCAAACATAGCAGACAATTAGTATGTTCTTAATATTCTGACTGTTTTACCCCCTTTAACATCGCTATTAGTAAGTTAGATGACTAGGCTTCACTATTTTTAAATTTATAAAGGCACCAAAGGAGTGCACCTAACTAGAGGGCAGTGCCTCAACCAGCAAGAGGAGCTGAACCCTTCTAGGGTCTCGCTCAGTGCCTTTTGATGCTTTTACTGATATAGCGAGTAATAAAAAAAGCTCCAAAACAATTCATAATAGCAAGAAAATGAAATGAAAGACCAAATAACTTCATAATCATAACTCTAAAGTTCCTTAAAAAGCTACAACAAAATCACTTGTATAATGATGGGCTATTGCAGTTTGTATATCAGCGAATGAAGCCAAAGAAAAAGGCCCAAGACCAAATGATAATAGTAGAGGAAGTAACCTTCAACAATGATAACAAAAATGAGGGAGTAGAGGGGAGAAAATGTGAGTTAGTTATAGGAGAGTACAGGTGGCAGGTTGTGAATGGAGAGGGGGAGTTGGGTGGTAGTGTAATTGTGTAAGGAGTTGGTTCTAGTGTGGAGAGAGAAGAGTGAGGGGAAACGCATGATGAGTATCTTCTGGGAGAAAGAAATTGGGAACTCTAGGGTGAGGGTGTCATCTTAGAGGGAGCTGGGTATCTTTAATTTAGCTTCTTATTCTGCACATTTGTTTCTGCAGAATTGTTAGTCTCTGTAATAGGACCTCATCAATCTGTGTAATTGTGGAGTTACAGAAAAGAGCTGGTCTCCATTTGTTCTCACTATTTTCCTTCCTTGTACCATCATATAGTTTTCGGGCATAATGATTTATCTATCTTTTCCAATTTTATTAGATGCCCCTGAAGGGATACAATGCAAGATCATTTATTTTATATACCTTCATAAGGATATATTTAAGCAGTTCACCTCTGAAAATTACAAATACATTCACCAAAAATATATGAAGAATTTACTCAGGCAATTTAAAATGTCTCTATAGCAAAAGAATATCTATACTTCTCAGTTCTCAAACAATTCTAATTTTTAATATTAACATTATAACATCATCAGATAACCATCCACAATGAGCTTTTGTTTTTTATTTATAAAATGAGATGACCTCCAACAGCATAAGGATTAAGGAATTTCAGTTGATTTCTCTAAACCAAGTTCTTCCTCTACATAAACAGAACACGCCACATATGAAGGAGTTTAAAAAACTATAATTTATGCCTGAAAATTTCCTAGTGCATAATTATACCAAAAAAAACAAAAGTAACTAGGTAATCACATGACATTTTCCAATGTTCTTCTAAAAAATTGCATGATTATTCACAAAAACTATAGTATTCATTTAATTATTGCGACAAGTACAAACCTAACGAAAATAGAGCTATACCTGAAAGACGTGATTTTTCTACTTATGGTGCCTGATTAAAAGAGCACAGAAACGTGGTTAATCAAAAGCATTTATTTACCTACTTCCCTTCTTTGGACCAGATACCCCATCTTTGGACTTTTCACCTGCCATCCGCGAATGAATAAAAAAGGTCCATACTTTTATTAAGTTATTATACAAAATAATAGCAAAAACTATGTATTTATCCACAACACGAAAAACTGAAAAACATATATAATCAAGACTTCCACAAGTTAAGACAGAAAGAATATAAATAGAAGGGGCAAGAAATACACAATTCATTAGTCATACTAACCCTCAGAATCATCTTTCAATCTATCATTGGGATTAATTGTTCCTCCTCGAACAAAAGTCTTTGACCCAGGAGTAGTATCTCCTTGAAATGACTCTACAAATTCGGCATACAAGCGAGCAGTCTCATCTTCTGCTCTCTGCAGGAGACAAAAATCCATTACGATAACTATGAAATGCCTTTTCTATATTCTAACAAGAACTAACCAAACTGGACATATCAACCCTACCTTCTTCTTTGCCTCCTCCTCTTCTCTGTGCTTCTGGAATGGTGTCTTTTTCCGTGTGATGGAGAATGAACTCATCTCAGCATTAGCAAAGGAAGCCTGCCAAAAAACAATTGAAATGTTTCTAGATTTCAAGACCTAGACTCACAAAAAATTTCAACAAATTACACTTTCGAAATGTTCCTAAACTTTTCACACCTTCCATTCTCTAAAAGAATTCCTCTTTTAAATTTTACATCATGTACAAACTCTATTTGGTCCTCTAAAAAGGAAAATTTCTAGCACAACAAGAATGTGGAGAAAACACATCCGATACAAATTCCCATCCTCGGAACAAACGAAAGACACAAACAGAAAAATGCAGTGTCCTCTTTCTCAACTCAACCAACGAAACTAACAGTAACCCAATAGATTCTCATTTAGTCTAATCTAATCTAATAGTAATCTATAAAACCCCGCCTCAAACGGGGAAAAAAAAAAATTCTCCACCAACATAATAAAAATATTGAAATAACATGCAATATATACAATTAAAAAGAGATAGGTATTTGATATACAGGGGAAATCCGAACCTCCCAGAAAAAAGTGAGTAAGTGATGAACAGTAAAATCAGCTACAAGTTCAATCAAAAGGAGCGAAGGAAGAATGCGTGTCCTCCATAATTGAGCAGAGTGAAAAATGAGCACTTGACTGAATGAAAAAACAACATCTCATCTCATCTCATGAATGTAAATAGAGAATAGAAGCTTATAGGGTAATCAAATTCGAAACCCATTTCTTGAGGTTGATTATATGCGAAAGAACGAAGAGATGCATAGAATAGAAATAGAGAAAGGGGAAGAAGAGCGATGAAAGAGGAGAATCTCAACTCAACTCAACTCAACTCACCTGCGGGTTTTCTTCTTCCACTCGAGTCGATAGTAGAAACGTAAAGATGCGCTAACACTAATATAAAGGGCAGAGGAAAGGGTATTCTTATATTTTATGTCTGTCGCAATAACCTTGGTATACCTACTCCCCACATAAGATAAATTAAGGAATTACTTTTAAATTTTTCAAAATGTAAAATATCAAATTTAAATGTATTTATCCTGTCAATGTAAAGGTTTTAATGCTCCCAATCACTTTGTATATTGTCTAAATATTTAAAAAGATTTTGTGAACACCAACTTTGTCTCAACTTTTGATTGAGAAACAAAAAAATTTCATAACAGAAAAATGATAAAAAAAAAATAGAAAAAAGAGAAGTGTGGGCCCTTTCTCACAAAATTCATGGGGGGTGGGGGGGGAGTTATTCTTCTTTACACTTAAGAACTTGCAACTTTTCTATGATAATTTGGCCCTGTTTCCTTTTCTATTATATAAAGATTCATTGCAAAATTATAGAGGTAAGATTGTATACAATTTACCCTTATTCCTATATTTACAAGTCTGGGAGAGAGACTTATGCACCAAAATTTGCCCTTTTTCTTATATAAATAATCAGCCCTCATCCATTCATTGATTAAAAACAATTGTGTTAATACATTTTATCATTCAAGTATAAAGCATGTGTAATTATTGAGTAAAATTTTTAGGAGGATTGTAGGGCTTAGCAAGTTAGCTTTTGAGTATATGCAGCTCAGTTTTTGAATATTTTTTAGTTGACGTTTGAGAATTCATAAAGCTTCATACATCAAGTTTTGTCCTTCCTGAGGTAAGTTCCTTTACTTTCATTTTTTTTAGTTATTAGTTATTTTTTTCATATTTAGATTGTTTATCTTTTTATCTATTTTAGTTTGTATGTTGATAAATTATGATTTTTTCCTGTATTTGTGTATGTGATTTATTTTATTCCAAAATTAAATATGAAATGCCAAAAAAAAAAAAAAAATTAATCCATGCAGCAATATATAATATTTATTGTATGACCCATCATCCTCAAATGTTGTATGTTTACCTATAGTCACACTATCTTATATCAAGTACTGTCTGTTAACTCTCAAAATAAATAGGACACTATCTTATATCAAGTACAATTGTCTGTTAACTCTCAAAATAAATAGGACCAAAAACATACAACATTTGAGGATATTCCGACAAGAAAGGATATTTCGTTTGTTTGGACGCATGAATGTGAAGAGTGCTTTCAGAATCTGAAGGAGAAATAGTATGCATGAATTGGACAAATCGCGTTTGTATGCCTTATTATGCACGTCCAATTGCGACTAGTGTAAACCGATAAATGTTTGGCATAGGTTACGACTAGCATGATAACATACATATGCGTTTGATGAGACTTAGTAAACCCTAAATAAAAAGAACCCTTAAAAGGAATAAATTATTAAGCGCATGATTACCTCCCACCACCAATATTACTCAAACCTCCTCTAAATAGTGGTGCTCCACAACTCAGTTGGGACCCACTGTTTCATTGAGCAAGAGTAGTCTTAGAAGTGTGAGACACTTAGGGTGCTGGTTATTGCTTAACTGAGGCATAAGTTGCAGGCTCAGCCGGGCTTATGTGCTTAGGGTAATAGTGCTAGGTTGGTTGCATGAGATGCACCACTAAGTGACAAGGAGTTATCAACCTAATGTTAAGAAAGGGTATGAGATACTCTTGATAAGGATCAACCCATTATTTAAATTAATCTTGCGGTCACAGACGGGGGTTAAAATAAATAATCGCACTAATCTCACTAAGGTAAAATCTAAAAGTAGATTAACCCTAAGTCAAATGGTAAGGGTCATTGACTTAGATAAAATAGTGGGAGGGGCAAATTATTTAAAGTCTTTAATAATTTGTTTTTACTAAATGTCTATATATTAATTAAATTATCTTTACATCTTTTCAGTTTTTAGTATGACTAATCCACTGTCACTGCGCTCAATACTCGATACGAACAAACTAACTGGTTCAAACTTTATGGACTGGTATCGGAACTTGAGAATTGTTCTTAGGGCCGAAAAGATAGCTTACGTTCTAGATGCTATATTACCCATGGCTCCTAGGGAAGGGGAAGATGGGTTCGCGGAATTTGATTTCGAGGCCCACAAACAGCACGTGGATGACAATATGATGGCAGTCTGCATTATGTTGGCATCCATATCGCCTGAACTGCAAAAGCAGCATGAGCATATGGGTGCTCCCTCTATTATCCTGCATCTCAAGGAGTTGTATGATATTAAAGGCAGACATGAAAGGTATGAGGCCTCTAGAAAATTGTTCTCTTGTAGGATGTCTGAGAGCATGTCTGTGAGCAGTCATGTTCTTAAGATGATCGGACTCATTGAGAAGCTAGGAAATCTAGGCTTCATCATGGATGCCGAGCTAAGTAATGACTTAGTCCTCACCTCACTTCCACCTTCCTTTAGTCAATTCATTATGAATTACAACATGCATGGGATGCTTGTGAGCTTGCCTGAATTGTTAAGTATGTTAACAACTGCTGAAGTGTCTATCAAGAAGGATATGACACAAGCTCTTCTGATTGGTTGGCCTAGCAAGGCCAAGGGTAAGGGCAAAGAGCCTGCGAAAGGCGACTCCCTTAAGCCCAAAGGAAAACCCAATAAGAAGAACGGCAAAAAGATGGGTAAGAATGCATCCAAGGACAAAAGCGATGCTGAGTGCTTCCAATGTGGCAAGAAAGGCCATTGGAAGAGGAATTGTCCAGACTACCTGAAGAGTGTGAAGGACAAGAAGCATGGTGATGTTTCTACCTCAGGTATTTACATGATTGAGATAAATTATTCTTGTGCTAATCCGACTTCATGGGTATTGGATACCGGTTGTGGTTCTCATAATCTGCAATGTGTTGCAGGTGCTTAGGAGCCCTAGAAGAGTGGAGAAGAACGAGATGGACCTCCGCGTTGGTGATGGAGCAAGAATTGATGATCATGCTGTTGGAGATACCGACCTCATTTTGCCTGCGGGCCTCTTGTTGCATTTGAATAATTGTCTTTATGTTCCCAACATTACTAGAAACATTATTTCTATTTCTTGTTTAGAACAAGATGGTTTTGCTTTCGCTATTAAGGATGGTATATTTTCTATCATTTTGAATGATATTGTTTTTGGTACTGCTTCTTTAATAAATGGCTTATATGTTTTGGAAATGGGAACTGAAGTGCTCAATGTATATGTGAAACAACCTAAGACAGATAATCAATCTTATCTTTGGCACTATAGACTAGGGCACATAAACGAAACAAGATTGTCTAGGATGCATGCAAATGGATACCTAGATTCCATGGATTTGGAATCCTATGGACAATGTGAATCTTGTCTAGCTGGGAAAATGACTCGTCACAAGCCCAAAGGGCTCGAGAGTCATAGGGCTAGTGAGTTATTAGAACTCATTCACTCTGATGTTTGTGGCCCAATGTCTATAAAGGCTAGAGGAGGATACTCCTATTTCATTACCTTTACTGATGATAAATCGAGATTTGGGTACGTGTACCTAATGAGATATAAATCCGAAGCTTTTGAAAAATTCAAAGAGTTTAGGAATGAAGTAGAGAAACAGCGTGGCAAGATGATTAAGACATTGCGATCAGATCATGGTGGTGAATATCTGAGCCATGAGTTTCAGGATTATCTGAGAGAAAATGAAATTCTCTCGCAGTTTACTTCACCTTACACACCACACAAAAATGGTGTCTCCAAAAGGAGAAATAATACTTTGTTAGACATGGTCAGGTCTATGATGAGTGTGACTCAACTTCCAAAATCATTTTGGGGATATGCCTTAGACACAACAGCATACCTTCTAAAAAGGGTACCGTTTAGATCTGTTCAGACCACACCATATGAGATATGGAATGGTAAAAGACCCAACTTGAGTTACCTCAGAGTATGGGGATCGCCAGCATATGTCACAATGTTGGCATCAGACAAGCTTAGTGCTGAGAGTACTAAATGTCTATTTGTGGGGTATCCCAAAGGTACTAAGGGATACTACTTTCACTCCATGGATGAACACAAGGTGTTTATGTCCAAGAATGCTGAGTTCCTTGAGAAGGATTTGATCTCTCAAGGAGCCAGTGGGAGTAAGATTGATCTTGAAGAAGTTCAAGGACCACAAGAACAGATTGAGGAACCCGAGTCTGCTCTGCAAGCGACATTCTCCAGTGAAGAAGTAAACACACAACTTCGTAGGTCTACTAGGGTCATCCATCCACCTGAGAGGTATGGGTTTGTGATTGAGAATCAACAAACCGTCGAGGATGATGAACCTAGTAACTATGAGGAGGCGGTCAAGGATGTTGACTCCTCTAAATGGCTTGAAACCATGGAATCTGAAATAGATTCGATGCATCAAAACAAGGTATGGACCTTGGTTCCTAAACCGCAAGGAATAGTTCCTTTCGGTAATAAATGGGTCTTTAAAAGAAAGACTGATGCAAATGGCAACGTTCAAACCTACAAAGCTAGGTTGGCTACGAAAGGATATCGTCAAAGACAAGGAGTTGACTATGATGAGACTTTCTCACCATTTTCCATGATCAAATCTATTAGGATCATGATATGTTGCTATTGCAAGCATCAAGGAGTTGGAATATTCGTTTTGATGAAGTCGTTAAGAGTAACGGTTTCATCAAGAACGAGGATGAACCTTGTGTTTATAAGAAGGTTAGTGGAAGTAATGTCATTTTCTTGGTACTTTATGTAGATGACATATTACTTATAGGAAATGACATCCCCACATTACAAACAACGAAAGACTGGCTTTCAAAAAGCTTCACCACGAAGGATTTGGGAGAAACGACGTTTATACTTAGTATAAAGATCTATAGAGATAGATCCAAGAGGCTGCTGGGTTTATCTCAATCCACGTATGTTGACAGGATGCTAAAGAGGTTTAGCATGGAAGGGTCAAAAAAGGGTTTTCTTCCTGTTAGTCATGGGGTACATCTTTCCAAGGCTATGTGT